GTTATTTACTACCAGCATGTAATATTATAGTATCATAATCTTCGATCCTTTGCTGTTGCTATGATTACGACTCCTTACACCCCCCCCCCCCCCCCAAACCTCGTAAGGAATGGAAGGGTTCGAGATTTCCAAGCCACTCCCGGACAGTCTGGGGAGCTGGCTGTATCCCTCTTCTGTCAAGGTCGATGCCAAAGAAGCCCCGTTCTTCTTGGACACATCCACGCCCTTCCGGGACATCTGTATTCTTTGCATCTGGGAGATCTGAAAATCACACGTGCGCGACGGCCCTCACGCAGGCGGATTAGATTTTGCTTCGCGGCTGAGGCGCAGTCAAAACGAGATTTTCCGAAACTCTTGAGTGGAATTATGGAATTCCGGATCACTCGGCCGTGCTGGCTACTATGTACACCGCTGGGCAAGATTCGCAGGCAAAGGTGCTCTGCCCAGTCTGCAATGGGACGGCAAAATGGACAGATCTTTCACGGGGCTTGACCCAGAGGCTGAATTCAACCGGGTAGATCCCTGAATCCTGAACCTTGAAACCCTAAAACTGGAAACCTATTTAGGGTTTAGGGGTTTAGGGTTTAGGGTTTAGGGTCTAAAGCTGTAAACTGTAAACCTAGTCGCGCCGCCAAGCCCCTCCGAGCCTGCAACAGTGGGAGGGTGAGAATCCCAAACCACTCCTACAGAAGTCTGGCTGCAGCCCTTACTGCTGCTCCTCCTGCTGCCGTGGTACCAGCTTCAGCTTCGGGAAAGCCACATTTGCGCCTGCGGGAAGGTTGTGGGCTTCAGGGCCTTTAGCTTCCTCTGGGTTTGAGGTCCGGATGCAATTCGTGTAACAGGCGTTTGGGAACGGGCGGTTAGGGTCTTAGGGTTTAGGGTGTAGGGTTTTTGGTCTTCTTGGGACTTCCGGTCTTGGGGTCCAGGATGGCTTCGGGTTGAAGGTGCGGGATTTCGATTGCCGGGAAGTCCCTGTCAGGGAGGGGTAGTTTGCAACTTTAGAGCTACTACAGAAGGGCTGGGCTTGCAAGTGTATGCATCTTTGCAACGAGGGATGCTTCGAACTCGGAGGTAATTTGACGCTGCGATAGGTCGGGCCAGATAGCAGGTTCTCCAACCCTAATCCCTAAACCCTAAACCTTAAACCCTAAACCTTAAACCCTAAACACTAAACTCTAAGCTAAGAGATTGTGGCGTTTTTCAGGTCCACAGGCCCAGGGCCAGCAAACCCCCCCTTGCTGCCCAAGGCCAGCTCGGAAGACGCGCACCCGAAACCCAGAGCCTTGGCGACAGCATTCACAGAAGGTCTAAGCCCAAGGGACGAAAAGAGAGACCCTTAAAGGGACCCTTGGGGATATATAGGGGCTTTATGAGACTATATCAGGGGTATATAAGGGCTCTATAGGGGTGTTAGGATTAGGGGTCCCTTCTAGGGCTCCCTCCTATTGAAGCCCTGAGTCTCCTCAACCCCTGAAGCCCTAAACCCTGAATTAAAAGAAACTACCGGTGGGGAGTTGAGGGTATATAGGGCTTCTAGAAGGCTTCTGTAATAAAGGTATATAGATCTTCCATAAGGCTCCTATAATGGTAGCTACCCACCTGAAAATGTCCTAGACTAAAACTTCTTAAAACATTAAAGACTAAGCCCTGAAACAGCAAGCCCTAAACCTTAAAACAGTAAACCCTAAACCCTAATATATGAAGCCCTGAACCCTAATAAGCCTTGAAAGGACACTTCGTGCCTGTGTAGCTCCGGCCCTCTCGGACTTCTCCGGTCACGTAGAGCTCGTCACAAAGCCGCTCCTGTCGAAGCACCAGTTGCGAGCTGAGACTTTTTGGAGGATCAGGGTTTAGGGCTCAAAGGGTTTAGGGTTTAGGGTTTAGGGGTTTAGGGGTTTAGGGTGTAGGGTTTCGGGTTTTAGGGTCTAGGGTTTAGGGGTTTAGGGTTTAGGGTTTTAGGGTTTTAGGGTTTAGGGTTTAGGGTTTGGGGGTTTAGGGTTCAGGGGTTAGTTGGGGCTTGGGGGGGGGAGGGTTGAGGGTTTCGGGTGCAGGGCTGCAGTTTGGGGCTAGGATTCAGGCTCTGGGACACATGGACTTCACATGACTTCAACATTCCTCAAGTAAAAACTACGCCTACAAGTCATAGAACTCAAGGAAACCACAGGTGGGGAGTTTAGGGTACATAGGGCTTCCATAAGGCTTCTATAAGGTATGTAGACCTTCTATAAGGCTCCTATAACGGTAACTACCCACCTGAAAATGTCCTAGATAGAAGCCGGGAGACTTGGCGATCGGTACTTCAAGAGGCGGACTGCGGTACTATTTACGCAGACTCTCATGTGCTACGATGCAAGTTGAACCCCCTAAAGCCCAAACCCTAAACCCCAGGCCCCAAAGGCCCTTAAAAAAAGTTCACCCTCAATCCAAGCAAGACTACCCTCACAAAAAAATAGAAGTCTGATCAAACCTTGCACAGAATCCCAGGCCCTCACCCCCAAGCCCAGTCCATGGCATCGCCGGCATAGTCAGCCAGAACCAGGCCATAAACTCGCCTGGGCGAAGAAGCGGGCTGCTATTAATTATAAGGTTTTAGGGTCTAGGGTTTAGGGTCAAGCACCTTCGGGAAACAACTCCAAGTAGTAGAGGGCAGGAGCCCTAAACCCAATGCCCAAACCCTTCGGTTGTCCGCACTCGAGGAAATGTAGAGCCCAGGCAGGTCCTGTTTTCAGCCTCTGAGCGTCGCAAAAGACTCGTAAAGGTTGCTGCGTGACGCACGTTCCTTATTACACCCTCATCAAGTCCTTGTAAGAGGCAGTAAGGTCCCTCCCCCCCCTTATAGGATCCTTCTAGACTTCTAGACCCATGTGTGTGGTGTGGGCGGCCAGGATGGGTGGACAAGAAATGCGAGGCACTCGGTGCTCTGCACGGCCGAGCGCTCAACTTCGCTTGCCGCATGAAGCAAGCTGAAACCCTAAACCCGAAACCCTCGACCCCTAAACTTCGATTCTTCATCCTCCAAAAAGCCTTCGACCCCCTGCGCATAAGCCTCAAACCCTAAACTCTGAACCCCTAAACTAGACACCAAGCGCCGCCCAGCTTCGTGCCGAACTCCTTCCGTGCCCGGAAGATGGGCTCTTCGTCACCGGTTCGCCTCAGGGCTTCGGCTTGGGCTGTTTAGTTTAGGGTTTAGGGTTTAGGGTCTAGGGTCTAGGGTTGAGGGTTCAGGGTTCAGGGTTTATATCGTAGGTTTTTAGTGATTGCTATATAGGGCCTTCAGAGGGTTTTAGGGTTTCGGGCTTCGGGCTGCTATAGGGTCTTAGTGGGTTTTGTGGGGGTTGCGTATCGGAGTTCTTGTTTCTGTCGATGGCGTTCCTTAGGGGATTTCAGAATCGCTTGTAGGGCCAGGAGTCTCTGAGGGCTTTGCAGGGACAGTTCGAAGCTCCAATAAGGAGGTGTCTTGATCTGTAGAGGCCTTCTTTGAAGCCGTAAAGGTTGTCTTGACGCTCTGGGTCAAGCACTGAAGGCTTCATGTTACTGTGCATTGATGCATTGCAACAACTTAAGGAACAGGAAAGCCTGCAGCGGCACCCAGAATGGCTTCGTATAAGGATCCCAGTGACATATTAGCTTTAGAGTGCGCTCGAAGTAAGCGAAACACCAGACCCACGGGATGTTGGAAGTCTTTGCCCACACGGAGCACCCCAAATGGGAGGTTCAGAACCTCACTAAACCCTAAACCCGCCTAAACCCTTAACCCTAAACCCTAAACCCCAAACCCTAAACTCTAGACCCTGAACCAAGAGAATGACTCCCAAATACCGAAAGCGGAGGGAGGCCTCGGGGCTGGAGGGTTCATGGGTCATCCCTGAACCCCAAAAGACCCTAAACCCTAAACCCTAACCCTAAACCATGGTCTACCTGAACCCCCAAAAAGAGCCTGTTGAAAGCTGCCCGAGGAGCAGCGGCGAGGAATCCATTGGGGTTTAGGGTTTAGGGTTTGAGGGTTTAGGGTTTATGATCTTCATTCTTAGATTCTTCTTGAGCAGCCTCTATAGTAGAGCCCTGAGCCCCTCATTTGGCATAGGAGAAGTAAGCTAAAGCGGTCCGAGGAGCACATCCAGCTCTCCATCGGTAACTATGAGCAGATCCTCTGGGCGACGGCTGAGCACGGAAAAGCCTATGGGGTTGCCTGGGGGTCCACCTTATTTCTGGACTGGAGCAGAGCTAGAGCAGCCATGGTCATCGTGAAGGCAGGAATACAACATAGAGCATAGCAGATCCGTATCAGATAGTACGAATTCGGATAGTGGTAAAACAATAACGGCCGTACGAGTACATATAATCCAGCCAACAACAAGCACAACCAAAGAACACATAAACTCAACATCAGAAGGGATACTATTCTCCCTAAACCCTTAAGGCGTGCCTATGGTTCTACACGCATGCCGGACATATCACTAGCCTCAAGGCCCCCCCCCCAGTCTTTGGTGCTCGCTTCGTTTGCAGTTTAGGTCTTAGTTTCGTTCAGGGTTGAGGGTATTGGTTTACGGCTTGTATCGCTTATAGGGTTTAGGGTTTAGGGTGGGATGGAACTCAAGGCCTAGAGCTGGGGGTGCAGGATTTGTGGCCGAGGGATTAGGGCTTAGGCTTTAGGGTCTCGGATAGGATCCAAAGTTGTGTGCCGAAGTACCAGGCTGTGGTGAGAGGAGGCCTTCAGGATAGACCTGCATCGAGATCTCAAGGCCCAAACCCGGAAACCCGGATCTTAAAGAAGCCCCAAACCCTTAAAAAAGGCCCCCCCCGTCTGAAGCCTTATGAACCCTAAACCTCCGGCCCTAAACCCAAACCCTGAACCACCCCCCTAAACCCCCAGCCCTAAACCCGGACCCAACCCCTAAACCCAAAACCCTGAACCCTCAACCCCAAATGCCCTCAACCCTCAACCCTAAACCCTAAGCCCAAAACACAACCCAAACCCGACTCTGTTGCAGACCGAGCACTGCGTTGCGCCAGGCAGGTTCCTCAAGTCGCTCCGCTGTCCGAGCCAGCGCATCCTCTCAGGCTTTTGCAGCTTTTGGGATGTTGTTGGAGATCGGGGCTTTAGTGTTTTTGGGTTTATGGTTTGGGGCTTTTGGGTTTGGCTTTTAGTGTTTATGGCTTGGGGTTTTGGGGTTTAGTATTTAGGGTTTAGGGTTTTGGGGGTTTAGGGCTTCAGCGTCTTAGGGTTGCGGTTTAGGGTCTATGGCTTAGGAGTGGGCTTTTGAGGCCTCAAAAATCCTGTGATGCTGAGGCGGGCCGAAATTGAGGTTATCAGCACCAGAGTTGTAACTTTTACCGGTTCTAACCCTCAACCCTAACCCCTAAATCCCCCTAAACCCTAAATCCCTAAATCCCTAAACCCTAAACCCCTAAGCCCTAAGCCCTTAAACCCTAAACCCCCAAAATCCCAAAACCCTAAAGCACACCTTACCCGTGAAGGCTCTTCGTCCTCCAAGTAGGTTCCGCCGCCGAAGCTACTTCTCAGGAAGGTGAGAACCTCCCTGCCAGCAGAGGTGTAGGGTGCAATTAGGGTTTAGGAGTTTGGGATTTAGGGGTTTAGGGTTTTGGGGTTTAGGGTTTGGGGGGTTTAAGGCTTAGGGTTTAGGGCTTTAGGGTTCAGGGAAGCTTGGGAAAACTCCTGACTGGGTTTCGTCTTGCAGTGTCGGCTACAGGGCCTCGAGTTTACCAAGGTGCCTTGATGAGGAACCTTCCCGTCCTTGCAAAGTAACATCATCATGGAGGGTGTTTTGTCTTTGGGGGGGGGGGGGCACTCTAGGAGGACGCTGCTCTTCTTGGGTAGTTCGCTAAACTAGGGTCCCTTTTGGTACCTTTTAGGGTCCTTTTTAGTGGTGCCAAGGTAATTTGTGGACCGAAAAAGGGAGCTTAACTTAGGGAACTACCCATATAGATTCCGGAAATGATCCCACAAAAACCCGCCAAGAGGGCAGTGGTCTGAGCGTGGAGAATCGGGATCGCTGGGCTTTTCGGGCAAGTGTAGAGTTTCAGTGGAAAGGCAGGAAGGTTCCATGCCTTTTGGCTCCTTACTAATGGGAGCGACGTACTCCTCCAGGCTGCTAGAACTGGAGCCGGCAGGAACAGGTTGCAAGCGTCGAGGGCTATGAAATTGCGAAAGGAGAGAGACTCCATCCTTCGAAGTGTTCATGTCTAACCGCTCTTGCATATTTCTGGCCAAGCGTGGTCGTCTCTCCATCTTGGAGCCATCCGATAGAGGTAGTTCCTTAAATTAGGGTCTCTTTTGAGGTCCCCAATGATATAACCCTAAACCCTAAGCCCTAAGCCCTAACGTAGTATGGCACCCTTATAAGAAGGACCCTAAAACGGCAAGTCTGCGAGCCCAGAGGCCGCGTTTTAGCCCAGATTCCTCACCCCCAACTAAGGATTGAAAGAGATCTGGGAAGCGTTAGGAAAGGAGAGAAGGCGTCTTTCAGGCAGATCCTAAAAATGAGGCGCACGCGTGCACAAATCAAGACACCGACCGCCCCTAACAGGCCTGAGACCAGCCTGGGACATGTCCAGCTCAATCTCTTTCCTGCCATGGGAGATGCGTAGCGGCATTTACAGCTATTAGGGCTTGGGGCAAACCCTGAGATCAAAACTCAACACCCAACCCTCACTACACACCCCTGAAGCTTCCGCAGTAGGTGTTGCTGTTGGGATTGGTGGCCCGGACTGCGTATCCTGAACCCCTGTCCCCCTAAATCCAACCTGACACCTGAAAATCAGCCCTAAACCCTAAACCCTAAACCCTAAACTCCAACAAGAACTGCGAGCTTCATGGTTGCAGCGGTGGGCGCTCTCCGGGTTGCAGGTTTTGACACGCTTGCGGTCTGAACCTGAAAACCTTCTTCCCGACTCAACAACAACCGGGGCAGGGTTTAGGTTTTTTGTTTAAACACCTTTTTCCACCCAGCAGTGCTAGGGTTTGGGGTTTAGGGGGAAGGGTTCAGTATCAGAGGTTCAGGTTTGGAGCAGCTTCGGTTGAGGCGGTGGCCACGACCACCCAGATGGGTCAACTCGGGGGAGATCGCTTGGAGAAGCAGGGCTTATTTTTGGCGGCTTGTGAATGGGCTTCTAGACAATTACCCGGGCCAGGGCGTCAATGACATTTCTTAAACTAGAGCCACAAGCTACTATGTGCGAGGCTAGGTTTCCATCGCGAAGCCTTTGCGCTCGCTGGATCAATTTTTGGGGCCGACTGTGGTCAAACCCTAGATACTAAACCCCTACACCCTAAACCCTAAAACCTAAACCCTAAACCCTACTGCCACTGAGCAGCAGGTCACCCATCCCAGAGAAGGCGTAGAGGTAGCAGGGGCGATTCTGTCGATGCGCCTGCCTCGGCACAATCCATCGTTTGGGGTTTAGGGTTTAGGGACTTGGGGTTTAGGGGTTTAGGGGTTCGGGTTTATTGTTTAGGGTTTAGGGGTTTAGGGTTTAGGGGTTTAGGGTTTAGGGTATCTTCCTCTGCTCTGACCCTGAAGACATAGCGGCATACCTGGTGAGTATCACATGCCATGTCGTGTTCATACCCACGGCGAACTTCTCAAAAAGCTGAACCAGCCCTTGCTTGCAAGAGACCGGACACATTCCACCACCAGGGCTTTGCTGAGGACTTCTCGCTGCCCCATCCTCGGCTGTCTCAAGGGCTGTGGGTTCTTAGCGGTGGTGCTATGGGCTGTTTGGCCTAGGCTGCATAGAGCTTACGGCAAAGGTCTAGAGTTGGTGGATCGTGCTGCAAAACCTTCATTGACTCTGCTATACTAAGCCGACGCCTTTGGAGGCGTTACCAAACCCTTAGCATCAAAAGAGCCCAAAAGCCTTATATAATAGGGTCTTTGGGCCCAAAAGCCTTACTATATGGGTTTTTTGAGGCCAAAGGAAAGAGTATCAAAAATGAACCCAACCTCTCCCAAGCAGCATGCTGCCGCTCGTGTCCAAACACCTGGCCAAGATCGGAGCACTCGGCTTGCAGGCTTCGATGCTTCGAACAGGCATTACAGGGGCCTCAATCAGTAGAATAAACCCTAAGGGTCCAAGTACCTCATAATCATATACTCTCCCAAATACTAGCCCACAAAACGACCATCCGTAAACCAAGTGCCTAATTATTAGGTCCTTTGGACCCTTAGGGAAAGCGCTGGGCTCCTTTATAGTATAGCTAAACCCTAGAACCCACGACTCGACATCCTGAATGCAGAACCTTCAAAGCGTACACCCGCAAACCGGGAACATCATGAAGCACAATATGTGGCGCCCTATAATCCTTCGAATAAGGTGTTCCGATATTCTATTCTGTTACGAAAGGTTTCAATAGGCAGCTCTGACCTGCTGCAACTGCCTCACTAAACAAAATCTTGCCTACAACTTCCAGCTGTACAGCCAGACCCGCGTTGCTGTCGGACTTGGGTGAAAACCTGGAGAAAACCGCAGTTACAGGAGTATCACGTTAAGGAGCCCTAAGGAATATAGTACTTGCAACTTTGCAGGCCCCTGCAGTCAGGTCAACACCCCAAGCGCTGCGCCCACAGCAACAACTCGCCAGCAGCGCACGATCAAAGGCCCGGCTTCACCCAAAGGCCGCATCTCAAACCTGTTCTCTTATAGGGCTTCAGCCAGGTTTAGGGTTTAGAGCTTAGGGTTTAGGGCTTTGGGTTTAGGGGGTTTAGGGTTTAGGGGTTTAGGGTTTAGGGGTTGTCGGGGGTAAGGCTGTTTTTTAGAATTTTAGAGCTTGAGGTGTATGGTTCTGGGTTTGACCTTCAGGTCTTTCGCTTAAGCTTCCAGGCGTTCAATCCGAATTGTGTCGCACAACTTTGCGAGCTTTGTTTGAACATGTTGAAGCGCTTTCACGGATGCCTTTCGTCAGTACCCCGCAAGTAGGATGGTTCTGGCTATAGCTGATCTGGAGTCATATATCCTCAGCTGAGGTACCCCATGAAACCATGATAAAAACACATAATGACACTGATAAACCCCTATCAAAACCCTTGGCCATAAACTGTATAAGACCCTTATCTAGGTTCCCCAGAAACACCTTAATAATAAGGGTACCCTTTTTCCTAATAGTCGGCTTCAATAAGGAGGCCCCGAAATAAAAAGGGCACAAGGGTACTACTGGGGAACCTAGTTATCAACTCTATAGCCCGAGCCTGCCAGTTGCCTTTGCTGAGTCCTCAAGCCAGGCAGAGCGGTCGTAGCAAAGCAGCGACTGCTCAATGCGCCGCGAGTGATGCAGCGAGCGAAGCCTTGCAAAGCGCTTTAGTGTTTAGGGCTTTTGTTGACACCTTTTTCCGCCTGCTGGGTTTCGTATAAAGCATTAGAGCTTTTGCGGGGGCTTTGGGGCTTGGGATAAAAACCCTAAGCCCTAAGCCCTAAAACACCAACACCCTAAACCCTAAAACCCAAAACCCCAAAACCTAAAGCTCTGAAACCCTAAACCCTAAAGCCCTATAAACCCTAAACCGCTCAAGCCCGGTGAGCTTCGGAAGCCTCACCCACTTGGCCCTGATCCTCTGAACCTTCCAGGCTCTCGGGCGTAGAAGCTTAAGGACTTTAGGGAGCTTAGCGTTTAGGGCTTTCGGGTGTAGAAGCTTGAGGAGTTTAGGAGTTAAGCTTAGGGTTGATTTAGGGCTTTCGGGCTTAGAAGCTTAAGGAGTTTAGGAGTTAAGTTTAGGTTTTAGGGTTGAGGGCTTTAGGGGTTTAAGAGGGCTTAGGATCGTGAAGCTGCACAGCCTTGGAAGCCTGGAACAACTCTCCGCAAACGCCTGCTCACCTTTGGATTTCGTGAAGGATCTCTACCCATAGGCCCCTAAGTAGTTCCTTTTTGGGATTACCCTATAGGATTCTAAATACAAGCCACAAAACGGAACTACTTAGGGGCCTATGGGTAAAACCCTAAATTTTAGGGCTTAGGCTTTAGGATTTCTAGCGCCTGATCCCGAAAGATGTACAAGTCGCTGTCTACCCCAAAGCAGGACCGAACAAAGGCACATCCGAGCCAGTCAGAAATCTAGACGGCAAAGACGACTAAACCCTGAACCCTAAACCCACAAAGGACCTAAACCACTACATCCCCTACCTTAAGCTTGAGCAAAACACGAACTGCAATGGAGTCTGCGTAGGTCTACAAATGCCCCATAGAACACCCACAGATCCCTTCTATATCCAACTTCCTAAAGAACCGCAGCCGTGTATCCTCTTCATACCTCGACAGCCCTAGACCCCAAACCCTCAAAGCCTCATAGTACCCCTTGTCTACAGATATTTCAAGGCCTTATAAACCTTAACAGGAAACAACCTGCACCCTTATAGCATCCCTTGTTAACTAAGGTCCTACTATAGAACCCTGTAGCACCCTTTAAAGAGGGTTCTCTTCTAGGACCCCTCTAACGGATCTAATGGGGAACCCTTAACTCAGAAGCCTAAACCCTAAACCCAAAAACTCGAAAGCCTAAACCCTAAACCCTAAAGCAATAAACCCGTTAAGGGGGGACACTATACTATAGTACCCTTTAGTGGAGCCCTGTCCGAAGGGCATCGGCACTTTCGCTGCCAGGAGCTGAGCCTCACTAGGCAGCATGGTGTCCCAGGTGCCTGACGACTGGGTCTTGAGGCTTGGGGTTTAGGGGTTTAGCGTTTGAGGGTTTAGGGTTTAGGGTTTCAAGATCAAATTACGCGAATTGGGACTGGGCCTTTGGGTTTCGGTTCAAGGTTTCCAGCTTAGGGTTCAAGGTTTAGGCGCTGTTTCAGGCTGGGGTACGTAGTAGTTTGTAGTCATGCTGGGCAACAGCTTAACTCGCCGTGCTCCGGTCGACCCCCCCCCCACCCGAAAGCCGTCAGTTCAAGCAATCGACATTCATGGATGTACATGCAAGATGGATGCCTGCGATGCTCTTCTCTATCTGTGAAATCACGAGCATCTCCTCTGGATCATGGGACTTTGGTTACACGAAACCAAGTATTACTACACTAATATGGCTGTTACATATTATCGTCATCATTCCTCAGTATTCTCTACCTGTATATCTATTTATGCATGTACATGTTTTCTGTATATATGTAAACACACCCAGACAGTTGGAATCGTTATCAAAGCTGCCCCCGAGTTGGTGCTAGCACGTCTGCATGCGACCCATATGCGAGGTCCACAGATCCTCCAAACAGACTCCCAAGGCTCGGCTCGAAGCATGCCAAGAAACGCGGGGCAAGCTCTTATACGACGACACTTGGGGTTCAGGGCTTTAGTGAGAAACCCTAAACCTAAACCCTAAACCGTGTTTTGGGGTTTAGGGCTTCAGGATTCAGGGATTAGAGGTTGTGTGCTGTCTAGCTCTCCCCGGTGTGCCTGCGAGGGTAACGCCGCTGGACTCAGCAGGAGCCGCCGGCGATTTAATCACGCCGTCCGGCGCCCCGTCTTTGAAAATCTCCTACCATTTCGAGCTTAGTTGTTGCTTCTTTCCGGGCGGGTTAACTCCCCAAAAAATTGCCTTAAAATCCTCTGCGAAGCCTACTTCTAGCACCACAAACCCTACATCCGGTTTAGGGTTTAAGGTTTAACGGAAGCGTCTCCTCGGGGAGTTTGTGCAGCGGGCCGCGCACAGCACTCCGGCGCCCGAGCTTTCGAATCAGATCCCGCAATTCCGGGCTCTTCCGGAGGATCTTCGCCAGCTGCTGTAGCCTGGGGCGTGCGGTCTAGGGTCCCCTAAACCCTGAACCCAAAAATCTCTAAACCCTACACCCTAAACGCGATATATAATTATATAACCCAAGGTTTAGGATTCAGGCCGGAAGCCCTACACAACATACCTTAAAACGCCAACCTTGGTAGATTTAGGCACTGTAACCTATGCCCCAAGCCTTGTCAGGGGTTCTGGGGGTCGTGCTGTGCCGGATGAGTACGGTTTAGGGTTTAGGGTTAAGGGTTGTCCCCTTATGGGTGTCGGGGTAGCTTTCGCTCGGGTCGAGAGTCTGCTGCTTTGGATGTCAAGGCAGAGGGGCCATGAGAATTAGAACAAGGCTTCTGGGTTTCATATAATCGGTCCCTCTCAACATATGTTGATCTATCGGTATATATACATATATATATATACGAATATATACATACATATACAAAAATATATACAATTGGATTTTTGTTTGTACAAATATAGACAGATGGATAGATAGATAGATATAGATATAGATATAGATATAGATATAGATATAGATATAGATATAGATATAGATATAGATACAGATAGAGGTATAGGTATAGGTATAGGTATAGATAT